CTTGCGTCCACATTTTGGCAAATCCAACACTGAACCAGTTTCACGAAACTTAGCAAGCAGTTTGCTAACTGTAGCATGGGAGATGGGTGGTCTCGTAGAGTGTCTTCCATTAAAATCTGCTGCAATGACCCGGTTACTGCGTTCACCAGATATCAACACAATTTCGATCCGCTCCTCACGTGTTAACCTCTTCAACATGTCAATAGCTGTGAACAAAGAGAAACTTTTAAATAACTCATGAAAGAATAAAGTTACGTTGAAACCAAGCACACCATTGTTTTTCTTATGACATTACCAATAAGTTTGATGTGTCACATGGCCCTTTTCCTATTGAAAAAACAAAAGTTGTATCCAAGATGGCCGACTTCTAAATGACCACCATCACCACCCATCTTGAGGAGTTTGCTCCCTCACATATACAAATGTGCCAAAAACATGACTTTAATATCACCAACCATTCCCATTTTATTACGGTGTATCCATATAAATGGCCCACCCTGTACATTTTGCTCAATATAATTAGCGAGTCTAAAGGAAACTTGTAACTTATTTTGTGGTCAAGAATTTACATCTAATTTTAAAACACTGTTACGATTCTGCAAATACCAAATTTCCTATTTTCAGAATTAAAAATGTCACAATCTACAGTGATGAAACTCGATTGCATTAAATGATGAAGCTACAAGGATGTCTGAGATACTGAAGCAAGAATTATTAAAGAATTGACATTTTGTACGCAGTTAAATCAGCTGATGAAACTATTAAAAATACATTTGTATTTTTTCCCAGCAGTGACTTAGTGGTGTCCACACCTTTAAATCATAGACTCATTAATATCCTCCCATAAGCATCCACATGTATTTATTTATCAATGTTTTAGTCCACATAAATATTAAATAATGTATTTGGTGAATAAATCAAAGGCTTCTGACACAGTTGTAAAAATGTACTTCTAAAGCTTTTAAGGCTTAAGGGGAACAGTATCATAGCCGGTATACACTGATCAGGTCTAACTTTATGACCTTCACTACCCACATGCATCAGTGAGCTTTGGCCACCAATGACCCTGTCGCTGGTTCACCTTGGACCCCTTTGATAGATACTGACCACTGCAGACCAGGAACACTCCACAAGAGCTGCAGTGTTGGAGAAAATCTGACGCATGTCAAACTCACTCAAATCCTTACATGTGCCCATTTTTCCTTCTAACACATCAACTTTGAGGACAAAATGTTCACTTGCTCCCTGATATCTCCCACCCACTAACAGTGGGTTAGTGATGATGAAGAAAGAATGAGTGTAACCTCCCCTGTCAGTGGTGTATATGGTAAATGGCCTGTATTTGTATAGCGCTTTACTTAGTCCCTATGGACCCCAAAACACTTTACACTACATTCAGTCATCCACCCATTCACACACACATTCACACACTTGTGATGGCAAGCTACATTGTAGCCACAGCTGCCCTGGGGCACACTTACAGAGGGTTAGGGACACTGGTACCACCAGGCCCTCTGACCACCACCAGTAGGCAACAGGTGAAGTGTCTTGCCCAAGGACCCAA